CTAAGATAACCTTTCATTAATCATGAATTTACATAACTTCCGTCCATGAGACGGGTACTCCAGCTAGTAATAAATATAATAAGAACATGCTGTGTAAACAACTTACTAATAAGTAAATAGACACCAACTCCAGAAAGGATATCATCTTATTAAATAAACGAACATGAAACAAAGGGTACAATACCATCAATAGTATATATTTAGTGGATTTGTTCTTCCGTTATTTAAGACTGAAACAGTTACACATCATAGTTAGAATACCTCAAATCTGGGCCTTTGGGATTGCACAATACTCCTGGTGAATAACTCAATTGAGGATTTCTCTAGAAATTGGTTGTTTGTGACACTTTTTCAGAGTACGATTAAGACGGAGTGCACATGCTCGATACGGTTCATGTCCAGCAGTTGGCCTGGCCGCGAGTGGGTGGATAATGCCAAGAGTTCCATGCCATTGTTTTGTGACTGGGGCTTAATGAGCAGGAGCCCAGTCTTGCATGAAAACATTACCTTGTCTTGTAAGTTGGTTATTAGCGTAGACAGGTATAAGTTCTTGCTCGAGAATTGCAATGTATCAAGCAGCAATGGCCATCAGCTATGATAGTCTGACCCCAATTGACCCCCACACTAAAACAGAAATACCGCTGTATTTTGATATGACTTGCAGATAATTTAACGAAAGTTGGTATGAAGACAGTTGTCAGAAGAGGACAGAACAAAACATTGTTGAAACATAGCGTGCTTTCTACAATAAATAAAATTGTGATTATACATTGTTGTTTGTTATCTTACTGCCCTGTCTGTTTGTATTTCGTGACCTATACCGAGCTATACCTGTACATATATCGATAGAGTTATTTGCATATGGCATCATGAAGATGGTCGATTTGTGTTCTCGGGGGGTATCTGTTTACTTACTGGTATATTGTGTTTAGAGAGAGTAAGGCTTGTAGATATCAGTATATACAATGAATCATTAAGTGATTTTGTTGTGGTTAAATCTAAGTGATTTTCAGTCGTAATACAATGTATATGTAACAAAGATATAGAACAGCAGTATATTTAACAAGAGTATAGACGAATAGAATATTTAATAAGGGTATAGAAAAATTGTTATTTGAATAATAATATAGAAAAATAGTATTTTTAATAGAACATAGAACAGCAGTAACTTTAACGAGGATATAGAGTATTGTTAATAGAACATAGAACAGCAGTAACTTTAACGAGGATATAGAATAGTATTTTTAATAGAACTATAGAACAGCAGTAACTTTAACGAGGATATAGAATAGTATTTTAATAGAACATAGAACAGCAGTAACTTTAACGAGGATATAGAGTAGTATTTTTACTAAGAATATAGGACAGTAGTATCGTTACAGTCGCCTATTCGAATGATCTTATTACTATAAAGATATACTCTGTTATCGGTTATGTTACGAACAAGTTATAAGTGTTTGTTTCACCTGACTTGTTCATTAATGGTTTAATCCGAACCTGGTGGTTAGGGCGATTGATTCGCAATCAGCCGTAGGGGCGTCATAATGCGACGGTCAATCCCACTATTCGTTGTTAAAAACGTAGCCCAAGAGTTGGCGGTGGATGGTGATGACAAGCTGCCTTCCCTCTAGTCTTTCAATGCTAAGTTAGGAACGGCTAGCGCAGATAGCCCTCGTGTAGCTTTGCGCGAAATTCAAAACACACAAATCCAACTTGCTCACGTGTATTGTATACTGTGCGCTTAGAACTGTTATTAGACCGACGTATCTGTTTCTCATATTTTATTAATAATTAAGTTTTTGTTTTCAGGTATTCCCATCAGAAGTTTGATGGTTCTTGATGACGAATCTCGACCTGCAGAGCTCCAGGCTTGCCATCCAATCGGAGAAACTAAGTAAGACGATACAGTTTACTCTTGTCCGCTCACTGAATTTCCGAACGAACTCTTCGACCAATGTTTCTTTTAATCCAAGTTTTTATCCATAGAGAGTTACCGCAAAGCTATTAAGAACAGATATAGCTAATGATAAATTATATACAGGTACCTTTACTCATCTATTTTTCATAACTGAACCTTAAAGATGGTTAGTTTTAGATATTTTGTGTGGTGGCGTTACGTAGAGTTTGACAATGTAAATACATTTTACAAACACTTCTGTACAAAAAGTGTAATAGGAAAGGCTTGGTAAAGATATTTATTTTCTTTCTAACTCAACCACGATAGGATTTAAAGAGTCATGCGCAAATTTCTGCGATGTAGTCGACCATGATTAAACGCAATGAAATGTCACTTTCTGGAAACTCTCTGTTCTTGGCACGACAACATGGAGTTCTTTTAAAATTAAAATAAGATTGCAGTATCCGTACTTTGAAATAGCACTTACTTTCAATTATAATTGATCAAATTAAAATGCGCATGCTCATAACATCGTCCTATTTATTTCTGTTATAACCGATTCCTTTTGAGATATAATTATTAGTATGTAAGTTTTAACAAATGTACATTATTACTTTTTGTAGACAACGCATCTCGTTACGTCCGTTATGTCGGTTCATCTTGCAGATGAGAAGAGGAGGTCTGGTTAAAATATACGATGGTTGTTTGATGGCAGAGGTAAGTTGTTCTTGGTACTTTCTCAGCTTTGATGCAAAGATTATTTGATGGTAAAAACAGTTTTATTTTCTTATTATTTCCTGAACTTTGGTTGTTAAAGAGTACACGTCCACATACTGGTTTTCTATGTGTTTTTGTAAAGGGTTATAAAATCTAAAATGTGTCAAGTGTTTAGAAAAACAAAAACAGTACGATTGTTCGGGAAGAGCATTGAAACTTATACAATGGGATTTCGAATAAACATTTGAAACTTGCTCATTCGGAGGCCATTACAAATTCAGTCCATTAATCACCAGCACGAAAGAACACGAATCGATGAAGGATTTGATATAGAATTGGAAAAGTCACTATTATTGACATACCAAAGAAACTTCTAGAAAAATACGTGAAATGAAAAAGATGTTTTTAAGCTAATATGACTTCAAGATTTGATATAGAATTGGAAAAGTCACTATTATTGACATACCAAAGAAACTTCTAGAAAAATACGTGAAATGAAAAAGATGTTTTTAAGCTAATATGACTTCAAGATTAAGACAACCATGGCCATCAATCGTCAAATGGTAATCTTCTAAAGTTTTACACCAGTCATATTGATTTTTTTAAATTTCCTAATCGTGACGTTTAGAGTTGCTTTGTGAAAATAAGATCTGGAAATTTTCTTAAACTATAATATTTTTTTGATAATCAGCATATTTAAGCCATGCGTTTTTCGAATGTTACTCGTATTTATTACCAACAACAAATATTTTAGTTCCATTTGGCAATATCAAATACTTGTATACTGATGTCCTAGAAATGATATTAATAGTGAGTGCAATATTAACACATCTGTTTTAACGATGTTGAACACCAAACACATAGACTAGTAAGTGTTGATAACGAGTACAAGGCTAACTCGTCTGTTGTGTCAATAGTTAACTCTAAACACATGCACTAGTATATGTTTATAACGATTATAATACTAACTCGTCTGTTGTATCGATATTTAACACCATTAACATACACTTATGTATGTCAGTTATGAGTACAATACTAACTAATCTGTTGTATTGATGCTTAATACCAGTCACATACACTTATATGTGTTAATAATGAATACAATACTAACCCTAGAGACTCATCTGTTACTTTAATTTTAATTATACTTTTAATTTATAAATATATATGTAGAATAAATTAGCTTTCATCACGCAGGACATAATGATTACCCTGAGCAAAAACATAAACTTACAAATATTAGCTCATTGTATATCATTTTATTTCATATTACAACTGTTAACCTCAGTCCATGTTTTACTTGTTGCAGTCCCTTTACAAAAGTCTTTTGGTGTCGGACAGGACAACTGTCGAAGAACTAATACAGCTTATTCTACATTGTTATAATTCCAAGGAAAGGCCTAACTTGTTCTCCCTCTACGAAGTATGTACCAGCAAACACTGTAAGATATTTTCTATACTTTTTTATACTTACGATTGATTCAGGTTTATATTGAAAAATCCTTGATATGAATGCAGCGCTTCATCTACGTTAGTTAATCGTAACGCTATGTATAATTTATGTTTAGTGACCCTAACCTTTTATTCTAGCTGATGCTATGTCATGATACATGCTGGCATCTATATGACTCTCAGTGGTTTAGCGGTGAGTCTGAGAGCTCGCACCACTAAAAACCGGGTTTCGGTACTTGTGGTGGGCACAACACAGATAGCCCATTGTGTAGCTTTGTGCTTACCAACCAACAAACAAAAAAGCATCTATATGGAAGTTTTTCAAAATCTTGGCGCGTGGTTTCACGCTCATTTTTACTTTGTGTTTAAATCAACCATTGTTTTCACCAATACAGCTGGATTAAATGAAATGTATAATAATGAATGGATTTTAGAAAAATGGAAAGTATTATTTCGTGAATTTTGAAAGCTAATTTGTGTGCCATAATCTTTTACTTAGAGCTACGTTGATCAATACACTTTATTTGTTAACTTAAAGGCTTTATACGACTATAAACATGATGTTTTTATAGAATAACATTCGTAACACCTTTTGTTATTTAACGTACTCTCGTTTTTAAAACGTATAACCAAACAATTAAATGTTTTAATAATTAAAATTACAACAGCATAATTTGAAAAGATTTATTGCTCGCTTCAGTAAACGAATTTCATATGATTCACATTAATTGACAATGAATATTACGTTTTCTAAACTTAATACAGACGAAAGGAAACTCCATCCAAATGATTATCCAATTTTTATCCAAAACGCTTGGCCTGATCCGAAACACTTTGCTTTTCATCTGAGAAAAGATATGATAGGATATCAGAAACGAAAAGTAAGTTAAACTGTTTTATTAATTTTCTTAATTAATTGACAACTTACGTGTGTTATTTTACATCAAACAGTTCGTGTACTTCTAGCCCTTATGACACAGCCGCAAGGGCAAAAAGTTTGCTGAAGTAAAAGGTTTAGTATTATTATTATTATTATCTGGAGAGTAAATATAATTTTGTTTACTAACTTTATTACCATAACGTCTAAATCCTTTCAGTATGTACTAAAAATGTTAAAAGAAAAACAATTAATTATTTCCATCAGCTTCTATGCTCGTAATTTTATATCACAATGCTGCATTATAAACAAGTGTTTTCTTGGATTAAAAGTGTGTAGTAAGTGTATTTTTTGCTTTCCTAATATTTAATGTGTTTGTTGTTTTTTGATATGTAGTAAGTGTTTATTGCTTTCCTGATACTTAGTATTTATATTGCTCTTTCGATTTTTATTGCTTACATGATATGTAGTATGCTCATTGCTTTCCTAATACTTATTAAGTGTGTTTATTTCTTTCCTTTCAGGAGAGCTTGGAATCACAGTCATCTCTTTGTTTTAGGCTATATGTTTGACGATCATTATCATTTCCACGATATCCAGAGTTAGGTAAGTAGCGCTTTGACAACTCTTGTACTTTGCAGGTTTCACACCATGAATGTGTGAATGAGCTGGTGTAACAACATTTTCTTGTTTAGTTGTATGTTTCTGTTAGTTATTTACTATTACAAAAAGTTTCTATGATCGAGTATATTTGTATACACGAAAACTTATATAACTTTTGAAAACAGAGCGTAATATATTAATGATTTAAAAATGTTTGTACATTTTATTGAGTATAGTTTAGAAAAGTATTCGAAAATAGCATATATTTTTGTCATACAGTTTTTACTCAACTCACTAGATGACGCTATGATCGCAGAATTTTTCAATGTTGTAGGGAAGCTTATTATTTGAAATTAATTTACTAATATTATAAACATGTAAATGATACAATACACTAAAGAAATATTTTGACCAGTACGAATTTTTATATCATTAGGTCTTCAAAATAGTGCCAAAAATATGAATAAATTAGTTAACACATAATTTTGGATCTACAAAAATGCGTGCAATGAACATTGCACATCAGTGACTTGCAGTTTAAAATATTATTGTAAAAATAACCTATATAAGATAACAATATAATGCAATAAAAATAAGCTTGTGTGGCATATAATACCATGGTTTATATATATATATATATATATATATTGTTTTAGATTTTATGGAACAAAAGCACAGATGGTTCTGGCAATGTCCACCTTTAGACTCAGTGCTGGAGGCAAGGTGATTCCTTTGGCGATTCGATGTTCAACTTTGAAGCCATCGTTAGACAGCTATGAGAGCTACTATTATGTTTCATGTAAAACATGCTGCGCTGAGACGTGATAAAGCTAGTCATTGAAGATATCTAATTATATCTACTGTATAGGATGACAGTAATATGAGAACATTACGTTTGTCATTAATGTATTTGTGTATTGCTTGACGATTCAGTACTTATATCACCTTGTATTTAGTGACATGATGACATTTAACTTTACAACTAACTAAGCTGAAAAGGTTTTTCAAACGATAAGAGTTTGTAGTTAAGTCTCTAGTGTGGCAGTGACAGGACACTCACACTGAGGTAAATATCTTAACCGTTTTACTGAATTTAATGTAACTAGGTTTTCTGAATCGTCTCCAAACAAAGAACATAGTCGCAACTTGTAACACTGAGACAGTGTGTACAGCACTAATAATGATTATTATTTACACCTGAGCTGAATCCTAGAAAAACATTAGTGAAAAAGATTTAGAACTTAAATGTATCATATAAATCATGACTTAACCTTTAAAGTACTGTAGTTGCTTCTGAATGATTCTTAAAACAATAAAAAAAACACATCTTGATTCATAATATTGGTTGGATGTCATTTCACATGTCCGTTAGAAAGTTTGAACAGTCATGTTTTTTGTTTATTATTATTTTTTTATTATAACTTTAGTTGAGGAAAGTTGAGAGATTTGATCTGTGTGTCTTACGTTTCCATCTTTAATATTCATTTATATTGTGATTGCTCTAATCTAGTCAACAGTGATTAAACAATTAAGAACATTTTCAATGACCTCCATTTACCTGTAATTAAATTTACCTGTAAGAAACTTACATATTCTAAGAACCCAAGAGTGAAAAAAAAGGCGAATGTGTTAAATTTCTCAACCACACTACATCTGCCATATTCAGTGCTGACCTGGCGTTTTACCCAATTGTTTGTTTGACGTTAAGCACAAAGCTACACAATGAACTATCTGTGCTCTGCCACCACGAGTATCGAAACCCGATTTCTAGCGTTGTAACTTACTTTAAATTGACCTGTTCCACATTTATTCAAATTTGTTTTTACAGCGTGCTGTCTGGACAGAGATTGCGCTAAGGAAATATCTTTTTTTTGTGCACATGTTCAAGTCCTATTTATTTTAGACCACCCCTTGTTTACAGTATTCAATCTTGGACTAGCCTCACTGATTTATAACTCGTTCTCCTTAAATGTCTTTACGTTGATAATATTTTCCTTCTATAAACGTAGCATGTAACAAGATACTGCTTTGTTTACAGCCGTACTTCTTAAAAGTGAAAGTTGTGAATTTACATAGTAAATAACTCTCATCTTTAAAAATAACTAACCAAAAGATCCAACCTATTCTAAGAATCCTCTACTGCTTACTTGTTAATCATGAATTAAAATAACAGCACTACTTTGTTGTAGATAAATTTAGTTACATTATAAACGTATCCCCGTGTTGTGGTTCAGAGGATTATTGTATACCACTTAACAATAGCAATCATGAGCTTGGATAAAATCTCTTGAAATTTTGGAGTGTTGGATCCTGACCCAAATAGTGTTTACGATGTACCTTGCATTGCTAAAATAGCATCAAACAGTTTAATGTTTTGTGAAATATATATTAATGTTGGTGGGTATAGTAATTTATACAAAGATGAATAAACCAGCCCTTAATGTGTTTCTCACAAAAATATGGAAAGAAGAAGGAACCAGTATTTAATCCTGTAACAACTGATGAGCGCTTTTCCGGTGTTGTACACCCGCATATGAAATTTCAAAATTTAAATACAAATAACAATTCTAATTTTATTTTTAATCAAATATATATATTGTACGTTTGTCAAATGTATTAAATATAATTCTCAAATAAAAAGAAAAAAAAATTTTACATTTCTGCGAAGCTCCGAAGAGTCTCGCTTGTAAACAACACACACACACAATTTTTTTTAGAATCTTTCTGCCCTTCCAAAAGTAAAGGTTTATATTTGCCAAAAACTGTCATCCATTGATAACCCAGAAAGAGTTAATGTTTCTCGCAATAAAATAACTGTCATAGCATTGATAACCCAGAAAGAGTTAATGTTTCTCGCAATAAAATAACTGTCATAGCATTGATAACCCAGAAAGAGTTAATGTTTCTCGCAATAAAATAACTGTCATAGCATTGTGATCCCCCCAAAAAATATTTCAACATAAGTACGAGCGAATATCATTTATAAAATGCTAAAATAATGTGCATGAGAAAAAGTTGACTTTGAGCTCTTTAGGGGTAACACTAAGTTTTAGAGCCTGATGTTCTAACAACTGAGTCTCCGAAGCCCAAGGTAGACCACTCGAGCTGAATCATTACTAGAATGTTTCACTACAGCAGTATTAGTTGAGAAAATCATGCTGAAATAAAA